AAAATTTTTTTTTTTTTTTTTTTTTTTTTTTTTACATTTCCTATGATACTGACAAAAAGAATTTGTCGGACAATCGGGAGCTCCTTAAATTGGGGATTATTTTCTTCATTCTCGTGACCTTATTTTTGTCTCGGGGATGACAATGTAAAGAGAAATTGGATTCCAAACCCCTTTTTACAGGTAAAAGGGTTAATTCGTTACCCGATGACCGAGCTTGAATTGTGCATTTTTCTTTTGCTTTCTCGAACAAGACTATCCTAATCATTGAGGCACGATTTACACTGCACTGACGGTATATCTTTAAAGTCATAGTTCCCGCTTGGTCCAGATAGATTTATTTTCGTCTTTATCACAGGTGTTCAAGATGATGACACAAGAGACGCGTTATCCAAGGTAACTCAGAGTCATACCATAGAGCTATTTTTCTTCGAGAGTCGAAAGTTATCCGGGATTACTTTTGTTTTACTTTTCTTCGCTCAGTGATTCAATGGTCCGGAAAACCCGAGCCACTTTTCAAAACTAAAGACCAGTAGCCCATTTCCGAATTACCTTAAGCCTTTTTTAGAAAGTGAGTCCTGGTGCTCATCCTTTAATATTATGATACGTTTTCATTCGCGTTCAAATTAAACTCATTTTCACCTGACTGGCTGAGCACCATGCCTCGTTTAGAAAAAGAGGCTAAGGGTAATTCGGAAATGGCCTAAGAACGACTTGGTGACTCGCGTTTTCCCGCGCTTCAGGAAATTTACATGATTTTACTGTAAGCTCTGATTGGCTCCTTGTCATATTTCCATTTGTACTCACTGGCGGTTGTGATTCCTTTAGTTTTGGTGTAACCACCCTCAGTCCAAACGTGTACCGTATTCCAATTCACAGAACTCTGTCTTTGTTTTGTTTTGTTTTGTTTTTTTTTTTCGATGTAATTCCATAACTGTTTGCTAGTTTTAATTTTTACCATTATTTGAGAATGTGTGATTCATTCCTTTTTTTTGTTTCGTTAATTACGAACGTATATAATCTTTAGTTGGTTTTCTTCTTTAGGATGAAGACGGTATTATAAATGACGAAGGACGAGAGTCAGGGGACCCTACACTGGTAAGATTTCGTCGTTTTCTGTCTGTTGATGTGATCGTGTCTGCAAAATCGAAATTAACCTTTTACGGTCAAACTTTATAGATCTGGCTCCGGTTGTTCAAAGGGCGGATAACGCTATCCAACGGATAAATCGCTATCCAGCGGATAAGTGTTACCAAAACGTACTGCGCTATCCACCGGATAGAGATTTATCCAGTGTATAGCGTTATCCATCCTTCGAACAACCGGGGCCTGGTTAGCTTATCTGCCCTTCTTTTTTAAGTAAACAGTAGAGTTTGGTCTCGTATCAAATGACGATTATTTTTTTAGGTTGACTTTGGTAGAAAACAATAGAAGGTATCACTGCCTGTTTTTCGCGCAGCATATATGATGAAAAAAAAACTTTGTCACGGTGTTATGGGTAACAATAAGGTGAAGAGAGTTAAATCAGGTGCTCTTAACTGATATTTTAGGATCTCCAAGACACCTATGATTACGTCCGCGAAGAACTGAAAATGCTCGAAGAACAACAGCAAGCTTTGGACAAGGTTGGAGAAAAACTGGAAATTGAGCTTCGTCGGGCAATGGAGACTAAAGGTAAAATAAAGCGTTCACCTTACTATCTGTTGTCTAAACAGCGTGAAGAAGGGTTTTTCTTAATCAGTCAAGTCAAGACGAGGAGTGTGAAAATAACCACTTTAATAATGGAACAGGGCCAGCGCAGGAAATTTTTGAGTCGGAAGGCTAAAGAGAACGCATAAGCTTCAGCCAACGAGGCATGCTTAGAAAGAGAAGTTTTTTTCACAAAAGTGGGGGTGGGGCTATATCCCTTCCCCCAGCCCCTCCCTTTGCGCGGTCCCCGATGAAGCTTAATATACTGTATTAAGCATCCCGTCTAGTTCACAAGTTGAACCCTCCCTTCACCAACCCACTCCTTTCTAGTAGTTTTGTAAGACAATCAGTCAACTAGTAAAAACCTGTTTTCCCAGTGCTAATTGGAATGAAACAAAGTGGAAGAGGACTCAGTCAAAAGATGATTGAATAAGAGTGATTCTTCTGAGCCAGAGGAAGAGAATGAGAGCTAGCACAGTGTTAGTCGGGCATTTTGTGTTGAATGTATTTCACAGGTTGTGAAGATGAACAAGAGAAACTTATGCAGGACTGGTTCGTACTGGTTAACAAAAAAAACGAGCTGGTCAGAAGACAAGGGGAACTGAATTTACTGTAAGTACATTAAATTTCGTTTATTCAACTTCAATTAATAGACAAGCCTAATGTGTACTGTGGTTAAACTCAACAGTTTTCGTAAGGGCCGTTCAAAGCCTACCAGCGCGGTTCGCCTTAGAGTCTTTTGGTTCATACTTGACATCCACTGAGAGAAAAGGCGAATTATATGCTTTCGGCTGTCGGTTTTTTCATTTATTGTTTCGAATTATAAGGGGTTAAGTTTTTTCGTGCGTTATTGGTGACCGCTAGCTCGAGATAGGGCGCTCTAGGGCAAGTATGGAAAACCAGAATTAAAATGATAAGAGCGGCCAATCAGAAAAAGGAAAAAAGCACATGTGACCAGCCTACACTGTAGGAAACCGCGCATGACCAAACGGGGATCTAATTTTCTTATAACTTGATTGGTTGAGAGGGAGGTGTAAATTTTACGTTGTAAAGCAGCATCAGTGCACTCCTAGATCATTTTGAAACCCTTATTTAATGACCAAGGTCATAAGAAGTTGTTTTGTAATGTCTCGGCCTTACAATAGGAAAAACGAAGAGGATTTGGAAAGGAGTAAGGATCTGCTGCAACGAGAACTGCGAGCCATCCTGGAATTGGAAGGTAACTGCAAGACTAAATTTTGGAAAAAACATATGCAGCCCGTGAACGTGTTTTGCATTGTAGAGTTACACGAATTGAACTTTTCGCTTCTTAGATTGGCAAAAGACCGAGGAACAAAAAGACCGTGAAAAAGAGTTAATTGATCAGCTGGTGTCAGTTGTCAACAGGAGGGATCAGTTGGTGCAGTTTGAAGACACACAGCTTCAACAGTGAGTATATGTTGGCATTTGCAACATTTAAGTCACGTATTTAACGTTTGCAGACGGGGTGGCTCCGCGGTTACCGCGATGGATTATGGGTCGAGAGGTCTTGGTTCGAGAGCAGTCAAAATACAACAGTTTGCAGCTATATTCCCCTGGAGTGCAAGGATAAAACTATGGTTTGCGAATGATGTTTCGTTCCCTGTTGAAGGACAGTCTGTAGCGGGAGAAAGTTTTACCCATACCCTCTCTGACTGCGTCTTAAACTAGGAGAAAACCGCCCAGATTTGTGTCAACGGTGTAGCATAAATATAGTAAATGTAGTACGTACGTATTTTGAACGATCTCTATGAGCTCCTTGACGCTACGTGGGTAAATAAAGTATTGATTGATTGATTGATTGAGTTGAATGCCTCCCATTACAAGAACAGCAGGTTGCAATGCTATGGAGACTGTAACGGTGATAAACGTTGTAAATTGATTATAATTCAGTGCGTTTCTTTGTTGCACTTCTTTGCAGGGCCGAACAGGATGCGCTCCATGTGCAAAAAGTGATCGCCAATGCTAGGCTTTCAAAGGACAAGAATGAATGTGTTCTCCAGTAGGAATAAATTATTTTATTTCAGTTTCCTTGGCTTAAGAAACCTGATGTCAATGAGAGCCCCTCCCCAAGTGGCTCGAGAGAGGTGTATTATACAGAACAACAGAACAACTCCTGTAAAATGTGACTCGGTTTAGGTAGAGATCCCCAAATCTCAATTACTGTAATTGTGAAAAGCTAGCCGTATCGTTTGTCTGGCGGTTATTTACTCCTTAATATTTAAATAGAAAGCGAAATTGTCAGTGAAAGGCACTGAGGATGCTTTGGTACATTTAGGTAATAATTACGAGAGCTGGCAACTTGGGCGAATCTTCTGCTGCAAAACAGTTGAAAGAAAGCAGTTCGACAGTGTGATACCTAAGCAAGTTACTGCTTCAAAGGTTAACTGCTCTTTATAACGTTCTTTGTTTGGTTTAACTTCAACTGCTTGCTTTATATTGAATGGTTGTTTCAGTGATTGTGGCGCTTTTGCGTTGAAACTGCGTTTTTTTTTTTCGTGAATTTCAAGTTGGATGAGTGCATTGCCGTAGACAGCGTTAGTTAAGTAGAGGTTTAGTATTGAAATGTTATTTTTATGGCACCAATATGTAGAGCGTTTCGATCTGTTTCTTAAATAGAATTTTGCGTCGCAAAATGTTGACACCTCGGGCTTCAAATGCTCCACGGAGCTTTATGAACCTTTAAACCCCAAAGAGTTAATACCACCTAAGATTCTCGTCACGGTATAACCACTGAACCAATCACAAGAATAAAGGTCACAAGAATAAAGTCAATGATCTTTAACTTAAGTAGCTCTTGATTGTCAAACAAATTTTATTATATAGATACTGATGAAATACCAGGATTTCTCCTTTTACTAAAAAATCATATCTTCACCGCGCGCAGTGAAGATACTATTTTTATCTTTCACGTGTGAGGATATTGGTGTGGCCATGGTTACCAACATAATTACCCAATTGCTGTTTCGAAAATTGCTGTTTCTTTTATGTGGAAATTTCATCAGTATCTATATAATAAACAGAACATTACATGGCCGCTTGGGGATACGAATTTTATCTTCTCGTGCTAAAAGTATCTCTCACGAGTGAGCTGCGCTCACGCGTGAGAGATACTTTCAGCACGAGAAGATAATATTCGTATCCCCAAGCGGCCATGTAATATCCTCTATGTCCTCGTTATATCGTAGGAATTGTGTACTAAACAGTTTGGAGTCTGACTAAAAATAGACTGTAAAGGGGTACAACAAGGGACGTGCAGTTTGAGAGCCGATGGTTTCAACAACAAAAGAATAGTTTCTTCTAAGATAAATATTATTTTTGTAAAATACTGATTTAAAATTAAGTAAACAACGACTTTGTTCCAAATGAAAGGAAAGAAAAATAGAAAATCAGACATATGTTATTTAACGTCGTTATCTTCCCCTTTCTCCCAGTTTCTTATTCTTTAAAGTGTCCTCTCGTGTTCTTTGTTGAGAACAAGAGCGTTTTCTAATTCTTGATTTTATTTGTAAAATGCTATCGCCAGTGATATACGATTATCATTTTGTAAAAAATGAATGGTTGAAAGAGATCAGTATGCCCTACAACTGGTGATGATCACGAAATTTAAAAAAAAATGCCAAAGTTGAGAGTGGTCGTGACACAATCAATGTAATTGTAACTTCTTTGCCTTACAAATAAACAGAAATGGTTCTATCAGACCAAATGATCTCATGAGGTAGGGTGGTCTTCAGTCTAAATTCAAATGTAGACTTCTTACGCCCCGAAGATACGTGTTATCGTAACTTGGTGAGAAAATGTGTCGCGTGGCAACAAGTAGTGCCTTCGCAACATCCCGTTCAGTGGAACGCCTTTATCATTCAGTCCCGTGATCGCAGCTCTAACCTTATTAATTTAGTATAATATCGCAGCACCTCAGTCAACACGTTGCATTACAAGTAGTATTGATATGCTGCAAAACATGGGCATAGAAACAAAGTCGAACTAGCCTCGAAAACACAAAAGGCGTTTTTAGAGAAAAAAAATTCTTTCAGTTTGAAGCTTGATTAAAAATCTAGAGAATTTCCTGATGAGAATTGCAAACAAGCGTTGTTAAATTTAAAAGAAGCGGGTTTTTGTGTTGCAAATGTGCAAGAGATGATTGCAGATTCAAGGGAGTTGGATTGGTGTTCTAGACTTGTGATAATGTGCACATTTGGAGCTAGTTGAATTTTTCACCGTCTTTTAAGTACTCATGTAGCCTTTGAACTCAAGCGAAAAAATTCCTCTCAATCAGACCCTTTCAGATCGTTACAGGTGCATATATTACAGTCGCTCCACTTGATGACCTCGTTCTCACAAATTCCTCGTTAGGACTGAAAGGGGACACGACTGAAGTTAAAAGTTTCGTGACGAGAAGATAAATACATATTTTAGGCCCCATGCACATCAGGAGATGTGCGCGTCGTTTAAATGGGGAACGAAACATAAAGCACGAACAGAAACCAAGACTGAACGGAAAAACGATTGAAAGGGAGTGGAACAGGGGGCCAAATTAATTTCCAAAAGTCGGCTTCACAATCCCTTTTCGTCCTGCACTTATTTTGAGATTTCGAAAACGAATGACGTCGGGGACAAAGATCGAGATAAGCGTTACATGATTATCTAAACATCATTGTCTTCTGTTGTCCCTCTGTTGTTATTGTATCCCCGGCAGACGGTAATACTATACATGCTACCTTGTGCGGTTTGACCAGTTCATAACTAACAATGAAAAGATTGCACGATGCCGTGTTTCTGTTCAGTTGCCGGACCATAGACGATGTAAAATGCAGCAAAAACCGAAAAGAGGTTTGTGAACTGATGAACCGTTTTTCTTAATCCGTAGTTATCTGGTTAAAAAAATAAATGATCTGTCTATGATCTGGCAACCGCCTGTCTGTTTACTCCAGCAGGCCTTTAGAACCGACCAATCACAGAACGTGTACGTGCACTGTTTGCGTCATTGCATCATATTCAGTTGTTTAGAGAAGTCTCTTCAAAGACGTTTTCTGCTCATCTTGTACTGTTATTGCGAATGGATCATCGTTGTATATTTGAAAATCAGGTATGTAAACATGCACGTTTTGAGCGCTGTAGGTAAGACAGCTGTGAAATTTAAGCAAGGTTTGGTTTACCATTGCAGAGCTTTTCAAAGTGGTTGCTGCCGCTGTATTTCATATGCCACTTAATGGCCTCACCTGTATAGAATTAAATTGTGTTGAACCTAAGTTTTTCGGAATGGTCGACACTTATGTTACTCAGAGAGAACTCAGTAGATTGAATTGCTTCGAAGCTTGAGAGCGGACCTCAACAATAATCCATGAATAGGCTTGCAACCATTCTTGTAAGGGCATGACCCATCTTTCGGCGAAGAAATCGAAGGCAGTGGTGAGTGTTAAAAAAAGTGAGGTTAAAAGAAGCAATTTTCGTTTTACATCTAATCCATAAATCAACCTTGGCAAGAAATTACAGGAAATCCCTTGTTCCAACTTAATTAAACAAATAATTTCGTTTTAAAAGATCGAGATGAAACGGTAGAAGTTCAATCTGAATTTTGCCGTCTAACGTTACCCGTAGATTGACGTCATGCTTAACCTCATGGGGAAAAGCGCTTGAAATGCTGTCAGGGTGGTGACAGATGTTGAAGGACTGTATGTGACTATCATCAGTTCGAATGCACTCTTCCTGTCGTTTTCCTTCGGTAAGCGTAAGTCATTTTCTCCGGCTATGTTGACTGATAGTGACCCAAGAATAGACCAAAGCACGCATGACAGCACGGTGAACAGAATGTTCACCAAAACACAAAGATGCTCTTTATAATTATTTGCTTCAGTGTCACATTCTCGAGGTGTGTTTGGCCACTAAAAGTTTAATTAACCGTCTGTAAAATTAAAACGTAACAGTGCTACGCATTTATTTCGTTCGTAATACTTCTCTAAACCTATCACTTCCTTCTTCGGCCTTAAAAAGAAACTCCCATTGTTGGGACAGGTTGTCATTAAATTATGAAAAATCATATTCAAAGTTAAAATTTGTTGCCTTAAATTGAAACGGAGGTATGTTAGGTAAGTAATATTAAAACATATTTCCGCCATTTTGATGGTGACGCTCTATGATCTGCATAATTTCCGTGGGACTCCTGCCTGTTTTTTTGTTTTGCTTTTTTTGTCTTGTTTTGGTTTTTTTTTTTTGCGTTTTTGAGGCGAAGGGAGGCAAGCACGAGGAGAGTGTGTTTTGCAAGTCACAAGTGATTCGCGCTTCGCGCATGCCTTTGTTCAAAATGCGGAATAATTTCACCTGTTCTGCAGGGCTATGGGACTGCCACAAACAAAAAGGGTTTTTATCATATAAACTGCGTTGTTGTACAAGGATTTCCAGCCCAGCGAAAACTCGTATAACAACATACGCGAGAAAATGCGATAATTTTTCACTTGTGGTTGATATCACTGATCAGCTGCTGACACGTCACTCGCCTTTCGCACCACTCCGTCTTGTTCAGTTAATAAAGGAATGGCAAATCCTTCGCCATTCTCAATCCAAGGTTGTTTGTTAAAACTTTCTCGGATTATGGCTGTCAGAACACTGAAAAATCCGCTTCGCTTACACAGTGTCGTTCAAACTTCCCGGGAGGGGAAGAAAACCAAATTATGAAAAGAAAAACCGAAAGTTTGATGCTAATGTAATTGTCCCGGTGATTACAGAGATGTGATTGGTCGAGGAGTAAGTCATATCTCGCTATAATCATCTCGCGAGAGGTACATCGGTGATTATAGCAGAAGCGGTAAATTGCAGAATAGCTCCCATACGTTATGTGGATATTTCCGAGGAACTGATAAACACGATAACAGAAAATTCAATTGCGAAGAGCACAAAGAACGCTACTGAGTTTGGCAGAACATTTTTTAATAGAAATATATGAAGTTTTTGCAGATTAAATTTGGCAAACCTTCAAAAAATGCTTTCTTATCCTGATACGAGTCATCAGTCCAATTGCAACAAAAAACGCGCATTGCTTTCTTCGTTTACAGAGTTAAAACATAATTCTATTGCTTATGAGCAAATATACTCAAACAATTTAATCAGTAAATATTGTTTAATAATCTCCTCGACCTCATCTTGGGGATTATTAAATATTAGTGTAATTTCAGAGCTGATTGGTCGAGCGGTTCCTTATATGACGCTATATAAACCGCTCCACGCAGTTTATATAAAATGTTAAACTAAAATGTTAATAAATGTTACTAAAATGTTATGATTTTAGAAATTTCTCTGTTGTTCAGTTCTGAAAATATACTAAAACAATTATTCGCCTCAGGTTCGGTGAATATTGTCAAATAATCCCCTCGACTTAGTCTCGGGGATTATTCGACGATATTCACCGAACTTGAGGCGAATAATTGTTAAATATTCATTTTGCCTGAGTCGAATAATTGTTAGACGATAGATCCAAAATGGCGCCCACAGGAAAATCAGACATCAATATTGCTTGTATGTGTTTTCAGAGTTTAGAAGTTTTGGTTTTATCCAATTTTTCTAACTAAACCACATTTTGATGACTTTCTTTCATACTGAATGCTGCATACTGAGAAAGACTTGTTCCGTGTTTACTTTTTTATATGACCCATTGCAGCTGTTATATGCGCAGATCTGCGAAGAAAAATTATGACTAAGGAGTATCGATCAACCTGTCTCGAGCCTAAAATGAAAAAGGATTTATTCGATAGCGACCACATTATCTTTGAAATCCTTAAATAAACTCTTCAACGATTGCTCGGAATGACTGGGGAGGCATGACTACTTCAAGGCCTCTAATCGGTGAAATGAGTTCGAGATGATTTCATAACCGCTAATCTAGACTGAACAGAGTCTCTGGGACACCGAAAAGGTGACATATGCGAAAATACTTATTAGAACATAGCTGGCAGTGTCGCGCAATCGAATTCATTATACGTAATCGTGCTCAAAATCCCGATAGTGCACGCTGATAGCATCAGCAAATCCGACTNACTGATTGGCACTTGCTGTTAATTGTGGAAAACCCGCCAACGTCTTCAAATCATGCGGTCAAAGACTTTATGTCTATATTTGACAATTGTCTTAGGCGTACTACGGCCATGGATAAAGAGGTGATCATCACAGGCGATTTAAATTGCGATTTATTGCCAAAACGGACTACAGAGTCAGATTGTAAACAACTCAAGGCATTACTGAGACAAGAAAACCTTACTCAACTCATAAATCAGCCCACTCGTAGTACTCAATACTCCAAAACACTTTTGGATATTCTTATCACGAACTCTCCCCATAACATTAGAGAGTGCGGGGTTTTAAGTTTGAGTCTGAGTGATCATGACATGGTTTTTTGCATAAGAAAGTTAAACTGGATGAAAGCTGCCCCGGAAACAAAGTTCTTCAGGAATTATGCAAAATACGATCCTGCAAAGTTTTGTGAAGATCTTAGAGGTGTAAATTGGGATGATAGTATGAATTCCTCTGGGACAAAAAATGTGAATGTCATTTGTGTTGACAAACTCTGGCTCGGTTTTAAGTCTGCATTCCTCAAGGTGGCTGATCGTCACGCCCCGCTCATCCCGAGAAGCGAGTACGTGGTGTAGATATTATTTGCCGCTATTGCTTTTTCAGATTACATCCGGCGTGGTATGGACCAGGGATTGCTGACTGGGGCAGTATTTATTGATTTGCGCAAGGCATTTGACCCTGTTGATCGCGAAATACTTATTAGCAAACTAGAGCCATATGGACTTAAGGACGTTGAGTTAGACTGGTTCCGAAACTATCTGACAGATCGAAAACAACTCGTAAGTTTTGCTACTTCAGGTGTCTATCTGACAGACCGAAAACAACTCGTACGTTTTATTACTTCAGGTGTCCCGCAAGGGTCAATTCTTGGCCCTTTACTCTTTGTCCTGTTTGTCAACGATCTGCCTATAGTTCTAGAACGACGCCAGATTCTGATGCACGCTGATGATACAGTTATGTATTTCACCGCTAGTAATGCCCAAGAAATAAGTAGTACACTTACCAGTGAACTTGCCAAGGTTAATGACTGGCTTTTAGACAACAGTCTTTATTCACCAAGGAAAAACTGAATGTGTTTTATTTGGTACAGGCTTTAGGTTAGCAAATGCTAATCTCTCTGTGAATATCAATGGCAAGGAGCTAACACGGGTTGCTCAGTATAAATGCCTAGGTGTAATCTTGGATGAGTCGCTTTCATGGAACGCACACGTAAATTATGTAATAAGCAAAGTTAGTAGGAGAATAGGAATTCTTGGTCGCACCAGGCGGAGCATTAGTATGCATACTGCTTGTATAATTTATAGATCATTTATTCTTCCTGTTCTTAATTATTGTGATATCGTTTGGAACTGTTGCGGCCGTACGAATGCTGATAGTATAGAAAAATTGCAGATACGTGCGGCAAGGATTATCATGCAAACTAACAGCAAACTAACAGCAGTTACAACAATTGTAATTCTGCTGAGAAAAAAGCTCTGTGAGCGCATTTTGAAGAGTCATAAATGGGCCATTGTTAGATGTCAGAAACAAACTTCCTGTTAATGACTCGCTGTATTGTAATGTATACACTTTGTCAAAAATTGAGACAAAGGCTGGGACATCTGTTAAGAGCAAATAATCATTTGTCTGCACCATAGATCTTATAGTACTGTACAGGTTATTTCCAGTAACCAAAATATCATTCAAAGTGGAAGAACTCCATAAAGTAATATCTTCTATATGATGGTATATAATAGCAGTAAGTGACATTGCTACACATTGCTTACCAGCATTTTCACCGTTTTCACCAAAGAGTGCTTCATTTCCTTGATTGTAGTTAGCACATACTGTTCTTGTCGGGTCGATCACTTCAAATATTGTAGGACCTGGATTTTCCTCCACATCATTTGCTTGCCTTATAATCAATGGAATATAAATATTGTAGAGTGTCACTTGTGTGAACCAAAATTTCACTTCGTTCCTCATTTTGTATTTCCCAAGCACTTGCTTCAACGTTGGTAAGTAAAACACATTTAAATACATCATAAACGTTATGTTCCAAAATCGTCCTCTCAGACGTGATAAAACAGCCTTTGTCTTAACAAAGCTGTCATGACTGCCAATCTTTGACCGATATTGTTCAATTGAGATGGACCCCATGATATAATGTCGAACAATCGAGATGTGAGCGAAAATTTCGATCCAGTATTCTTTTCTCAGCGTCTATTTCGGGCTCTATCAGTGAATTTTCAGTAGCTATATCAGTGCTATAAAGTGCTCCCTCAGTGAGGATCAAGCCGAGTAAAAAACATTGGCTTGCGTAGGCGTAAAAGCCTCTT